CTGAAGACCGAGGAGGCCCAGACGGTGGCCAAGAACGTCGCAGGGCGATTCCGCAAGGCTTGCAAGCAGGTGGTGGACCGCGGCGGGGCTGCGGCCGACAATTTACTTATCGGGCCGAACTGCCCCCCCAAGATGGCATGTGAATGCGGCTTCCTCTTCAAATCTGAAAGATGCAAATCGCACGCTCCATTTCACGACGCAGCGCCGGGGGGGCATTGAGCCCGCCTTTGCGCGGGCGCGAGCGCGAAGAGTCTGAGATGATCCTGAGAGGCTCCGGAGAAGCTCCCAAGGGGCTCCTCCGATGCTTCTGAGAGGCTGCTGAGGGCGGCGCTGATCGCACCTCATGTAGCCGAATCCCACCTCCGAATCTTGCCTGCGGCGGCCGCGCTCCTGCTCCGAATCTTGCCCATCGACGTCCCGAATGGGGCTCCGAATCGCGCCGCGTAAGGGCTCCGAATCTTGCCCGTCGACGCCTCGGATGGTGCCCCGCACTGTTAAACACAAGACCGAAGATAGTTCACCCAACTTTCGCTAATGATTCGGCCGATGTGAAACTGCCATCTTTCGGGGCAGCTTTCGGTGGCCTCGTCCGGTGGCATCTCGGGGGGCAAGCCCAGCGCGCGCGGGTGGCCTGTGTACTTGGGGCCCCGCGGACCCCGCGTCCAGAGCCCTCGACTCAAGGGCGCAGATCTCCTTTGATTCTGGGGCCAGGGCCCACGGACTCCGCGGCGGGGCCCAGGCGAGTCGGGGCCCGACCATGTGCTGCGGCATCACGAAGAGCGTCCAGCAACGCCAAAGAAACCGCGCGCAAGAACGACATCTAGCAAACAAATAAGCAACCCGGGACATAGCAAAATTCACAGACGTTTCGCTCGGGGTCCTGTTCAGCCCGACGGTTTCGGGCTCGCAAAGCGTGGCAGGCGTGACACTTCCTCGACACCACAAGGGGTGCGCTGGGGGTGGTCTCCCTATCCGTTTCGGGCTCGGAAAGCGCAGCAGGCGTGGCACTTTCTCGACACCACAAGGGGGTGCGCCAAGTATGGTCTCCCTATCCATTCCGGGTTCGCAAAGCGTGGCAGGTGTGCCACTTCCTCGACACCACATGGGCTGCGCTGGGGGTGGTCTCCCTGTCCGTTTCGGTCTCGCAAAGTATGGCAGGCGTGCCATTTCCTCGACACCATAGGGGGTGAGCTGGGGGTGGTCTCCCCATCCGCTTCGGGGTCGCAAAGCGTGGCAGGCGAGGCACTTCCTCGACATATCAGGGGTGCGCTAGGGGTGGTCTCCCTATCCGTTTCGGGCTCGCAAAGCGCGGCAGGCGCGGCGGCGCGGCACTTCCTCGACACCACAGGGGGTGCGCCAGGGGTGGTCTCCCTATCCATTTCGGGCTCGCAAAGCGTGGCAGCCGTTGCACTTCCTCGACACCGCAGGGGGTGCGCTGGGGGTGGTCTCCCTATCCGTTTCGAAGCGTGGCAGGCGTTGCACTTCCTCGACACCATAATTTAGCGTGGCAGGTGCGCCACTTCCTCGACAACACAGGGGGTGCGCCAGGGGTGGTCTCCCTATCCATTTCGGGCTCGCAAAGCGTGGCGGGCGTTGCACTTCCTCGACACCACAGGGGGTGCGCTGGGGGTGGTCTCCCTATCCGTTTTGGGCTCGCAAAGCGTGGCAGGCGTGGCACTTCCTCGACATCTCAGGGGGTGCGCTGGGGGTGGTTTCCCTCTCCGTTTCGGGTTCGCAAAGCGTGGCAGGCGTGGCACTTCCTCGACGCAACATGGGGTGCGAAAGGGGTGGTCGCCCTATACGTTTCGGGCTCGCAAAGCGTGGCAGGCGTGGCACTTCCTCGACACCACAGGGGATGCGCTGGGGGGGGTCTGCCTATCCGTTTCGGGCTCGGAAAGCGCGGCAGGCGTGGCACTTTCTCGACACCACAAGGGGGTGCGCCAAGGGTGGTCTTCGTATCCATTTCGGGTTCGCAAAGCGTGGCAGGTGTGCCACTTCCTCGACACCACAAGGGGCTGCGCTGGGGGTGGTCTCCCTATCCGTCGGTCTCGCAAAGTATGGCAGGCGTGCGATTTCCTCGACACCACAGGGGCTGCGCTGGGGGTGGTCTCCCTATCCGCTTCGGGCTCGCAAAGCGTGGCAGGCGTGGCACTTCCTCGACATCTCAGGGGGTGCCGTTTCGGGCTCGCAAAGCGCGGCAGGCGTGGCGGCGCGGCACTTCCTCGACACCACAGGGGGTGCGCCGGGGGTGGTCTCCCTATCCGCTTCGGGCTCGCAAAGCGCGGCAGGCGTGGCAGTTCCTCGACACCACAGGGGCTGCGCTGGGGGTGGTCTCCTTATCCGCTTCGGGTTCGCAAAGCGTGGCCGGCGTGGCACTTCCTCGACACCACAAGGGGTGCGCCGGGGGTGGTTTCCCTATCCATTTCGGGGTCGCAAAGCGTGACAGGCGTGCTACTTCCTCGACACCACAGGGGCTGCGCTGGGGGGGTCTCCCTATCCGTTTCGGTCTTAGCGTGGCAGGTGTGCCACTTCCTCGACAACACAGGGGGTGCGCTGGGGGTGGTCTCCGTATCCGTTTCGGGTTCGCAAAGCGTGGCAGGCGTGGCACTTCCTCGACACCATAGGGGGTGCGCTGGGGGTGGTTGCCCTATCCGTTTCGGGCTCGCAAAGCGCGGCAGGCGCGGCACTTCCTCGACACCACAGGGGCTGCGCTGGGGGTGGTCTCCTTATCCGCTTCGGGTTCGCAAAGCGTGGCAGGCGTGGCACTTCCTCGACACCACAAGGGGTGCGCCGGGGGTGGTCTCCCTATCCATTTCGGTCTCGCAAAGCGTGGCAGGTGTGCCACTTCCTCGACAACACAAGGGGGTGCGCTGGGGATGGTCTCCCTATCCGTTTCGGTCTTGCAAAGCGTGGCAAGCGTTGCACTCCCTCGACACCACAAGGGGGGCGCTGGGGGTGGTCTCCCTATCCGTGCCGGGCTCGCAAAGCGTGGCAGGCCTTCCTCGACATCTCACGGGGTGCGCTGGGGGGGGGTCTCCCTATCCGTTTCGGGCTCGCAGAGCGTGGCAGGAGTGGCACTTTCTCGACACCATAGGGGCTGCGCAGGAGGTGGTCCCTGAGCGCGGCCGCTATGCACGACGGTCGTCCAGGGCGTAGCAGGCGTGGCATTTTCTCGACGCCGGACGGGGTGCGCAGGGGGGGGTCCCTCACCGCGGCCGCTATGCGCGCCGGTCGTCCAGGGCATAGCAGGCGTGGCACTTTCTCGACACCATAGAGGGTGCGCAGGGGGTGGTCCCTCACCGCGGCCACTATGCACGACGGTCGTCCAGGGCATAGCAAGCGTGGCGCTTTCTCGACGCCAGACGGGGTGCGCAGGGGGCTGTCCCTCACCGCGGCCGCTATGCGCACCGGTCGTCCAGGTCACCGGGCTCGCAAAGTGTGGCTGGCGCGGCGCTTCTCCTCTTCCACCTCTCCTCTTGAGTGGCGTCACCAACGGTATCGTCGGGACAACGGCCACCAACATCATTCTCAACATGCTTCATTGAAGCATGTTGGCACATCACAGCCATCAATCACAGCAATCAACATGCTCAACCACCAATTCAGCTATCATCACTCCAGCCATAATATAAGTATGTGGGGTTCCTCAGTAGCGTATTTTTTTACTGGTGGGAATCTGCAGCCGAGAATCCTTGTTGCAAACGCTGCCACACAAGTATTTCGATCTTGGTGGATCTGCACTGAGGGAAACCCTTTGCGAGACTGGCTTACATGTAGTCCCTGTCGAGAGACGTCGCAAATGGAATCAAGTAAGGCCGTCACAGCGCCATCACACGTATGATGAATAAGCTGATGAGGCCACAGCGTGCCAACCGCGACGAAATCAATCAAGACAAGCCTTTTGTAATCATACAAGCCAAGGGTCGCCAGGTGTAGGGGGTGGGTGGGCAGCAGGCACGGTGGCGGTGGCGGTGTGGCGGTGTGACGGTAGCATCGGGGGTTCTGCTTCCAGTGCTCGCGGCGGTAGCGGTGACCGTGGCGGCGGCGGCGGTCACGGCGATGGCGCTGGTGTGGTTCTGGCGGTGGCGGGTTGGCGCCAACGCGGGCGCCAGCGATTGAGCTAGGAGGGGGCCAAACGTGCTGCCTACACCGAACACCGATTCTGGGTCCAAGATTGGCCTGGCCACCAAGTGTCCTGGGCTGTGGGATTGTGCATGGGTCTTCCGCCCATCATTGCTGGATCCCGCGAGGACTGCTTGACCGGCAGCCACCGCAAACCTAAGCCGCCGCGTGGCCAAAACTATTCGTCAGAATGTCAAGGGGAGCCCCAGATTGACCAAAGATGGCCTGCAAAGACGGCGCCAGATGGACAAAAATGGCCTCCAGCATGGCT